CCAAGAGGCATGCATTGACATTCCTAGCAGTGTTTTGGGCTTTGATTTCGGGACATCCTCCATATGTATTTTTTTACTGGACGGTCCTCCCAGCCCTCCCTTCTTCCTTCTCTCTCCTTCCTTGCATCACCGATGATGTGTAGATGGTTGACATTTTTAAAAAAAGGCCAAGATGGATTGATCACAACTGATACTGAGCATGCATTTTGTAGCAGCACAAATCTAGTGGGAATGACAATCATGTCACAAAAGACAAGAATCCATGGAATAAGGAAATAATTCATTTCCATAGTGGGAACTTACGCATCGGTCTGAATTGATTCAGTGACCCGGTGACAATGCTACTTGCAAACTGGTTTAAATACAAGCGGGAATGAGCCATATGTGTATAAGATATATATACATATATGAACATAAATGAATTTGATGTTTTGATTTGGATTCCATCTACAAGGTATCTCAGTATTTATGTATATGCAAACACAGGTATTCCAAACTAAAAATACATAAATCCAGAATACCTCTGGGAATAAGGGAGATTCAATCTGTAGTAATTCAGATGCAATCCTATTCAGACAATCTTTGAAATAACTCATTGAATTCAGTGAGACTCCTTACCAGTAATCATGCAAACTAGGATGGATGTGCCACAGAAATGTTTGGATTTTGAACAAGATACAACTCTACTGATCCATTGTTTTCATCTATATTTGGTTACACCTCAGTTCAATTTGATGAGAGTTTAAGTGTCTAAGGAAGAGCTTATTTAAGGGCAATGACTTCTGAAACTGAGTTATAAGGAGAGCCACTTTAATTTCCAAGGCATTTTACTTAAGCCACAAAAGCAAGTATAGTCTAAACTGTATTTCATTTGGTTTATAGCTGATTCAACTGTTTGGTTAGGAAACATATTTGATCTTGGATCTTGAAAATGGTTTCAGATGAGATGATTCAGAAGTTGAGATGTGGTTGAATTATTTTGATCTTACTAGTGCTGTCCAACTATTTCAAAACACAGTGCAAAGTGCTAGTTCTTACTTTTAAAGCCCTGCACAACTTGAGATCTAAGGGGCTGTCTGCACGAGTTCCCCCTGGACTCATGTCATCTAGTTCAGACAAAGCAGACCAAAACCGCTGGGGCAGAATCAGGCTTGATCTTGCCAGACCACACACCAACCCAGTGGATCCAGCCCAATCTTGGGGTAAACAGCCTATACCCTGGAGTAAAATATCCCTGGTTTTCTGCCAGATTTCTAGGAAACTTTGTAGCAAAACCTGTCTGTTCACACACACACCATGCTTCTTACCTTGCCAGCCATCACATTCATTCAAAAATCCCCCATTGCCATGTCTGATGTGGAAATGGGCCACTGGCTGCATCTATGTGGCCAAACATGTTGTTTCCTCATCAGATGCAGCAATGGGGAAGGGGGGGGGGCTTCTCAGTCAGAGACCCAAAACACATGGGCTAAATGAAGTGGCATCTGGCTGCTTTGAGGGCATGGTGTTTAGATGATGCATGACCATGAAGCAGGTGGAAGCTGCTCCACCACCATCCTCCAGTCCAAAGGATCAAATTAAAAAGGAGCTGTTTTAATCTGACTCCTGGAGGCATGGCTTAGGACTGTAGGGAGCAGCCCACATTGGGAGTAGGTTGTGCAGCCACTGCAGTCCCAACCCAATCATGCCCCAGTTGTAGCCAGAGGGGCCAGAGACTGCTTCTTCCTGGCCATCTGCTTCACCCCAGAGTGACAGTGTGGCAAGCCGAGGAGAGCATGCAGGTTGCAGGTGCACACCTGCCTGTCCCTGTGCCAACCAAGGAACAAAGCCAGGTGAACCAGAGCCAGGAAAGCACAGGCTCAGCCCATGCTTTCCTGGACCATCTGCTAAGCCCCCTAAACTTCTATATTAATGTCCTTTCAGCATTAGTCAAAGGGTCAGCTTCAGGTTTTTAAAAACCATTTTTTTTTTTTTGCAGGACTTTATTTTATTCTTATGCTACTATTTGTTTGTACTACTGCTTGTTTGTATTGGATATAGCCAATTAAGTATTACTTGGCCAATTGTGGGCCTGAACAATCAGCCAAAAATAATCCAGCTTGAGACCATTTCAACCGTCCTGGCTCAGTGCTAGGGAATCATGGGAACTGTAGTTTACTGTGGCACCAGAGCTCTCTGACAGAGAAGGCTCAAGGTCTCAGGAAAAAAAAACCAACCTTCAGTTTCCATGATTCCTAAACATTGAGCCAGGATAGTTAAAGTGGTCTCAAACTGGATTATTTCTAGCAGTCTGTCCAGGCCCTAAGTCAAGTAAGTATTGGCTATGTCCAATAATTAATGAAGGATGCATTGAATAAATACAATTTATTTATAATATCAAAGAGATTTTATAGTTGTAAATGTGTCTGTCTCTCCCTGCCAT